AGCTATTTATCCCTTAACTGCTTATGACAGGGTTTCTTGTACCTTTCTCTGAAGCATCTTGATCCACAGATAGGGTCCTGGACTAGACAGACGATGAGTCTGATCTGGTGTGGAGAGTCCTATGTTTCTAGGAGAAACGTGAGCAAAAGGGCTGAAGTGTTTTGTCAGACTCATGATTTTTTTCCCCTCCCCACTCCTGTGGAAGTTGTTACTTTTTCTTAGTAGTTATTGTTTTCAGGGATTGCTCTGGAGTAGAGAGAGTTACCCAGGGCTACCCATGGAGTTGTTCAGGAAGAGGTATTCAGAAGTGAATTAGGATAATCCACTTTGGAAGTAGCTATCCAGAAATTATTTTTGTTCCAGAGCAAGTGTGTCCACACAGGCAGTTATTCCATATTACCTATTCTGCTTTACATTCGCCTCCTCCCTTACTCTGGAATCACTTCCATGTGCTGACAAGGCTGATGGGGGGCACCTGCCGAGTACATCCTCTTGGCTTGTGATTCCAGCTTCCTTCCAGACCTGGTGAGCTCAGAAAGGGTCATGAGCTAATCAGAAAGCAGCAAGCTAACCCCACACAGAGAAGGTTTAAACTGAGAAGCTGTAGGGCAAAAGACATTCCCGGCCCAGCTCCGGCAGACAATGGTGGGAAGGAAGTAGGAGTCATTACCGCCATGGTTTCAAGGCTTCGGGGACTTGGGTAGTAGCATCTCGACGCTCAAAGCCCAGACCGGCTGGAGGGGCCTCCGCTGCGTTCCCACTGCTATGGAGAAAGGAAGCTCGTCTTGCGGGTGACTGGCAATTAAAATGGTTTCTCCCCTTCCTGTTATCAGGCTTCTGCAATTGGGCCAGATTTAGACTGCAGGCTTGGACCGAATGGCAATGTTAAAAGGAGCCAGAAAAGCAAAGAGCCTTAATGTCCTGGCTCTGCGTCAGCGCAACAGTGGATTTCGACAACCTGTTTTCCAGATCCCTTGGCGTTCTTCCACCAACTCCCTGTGCATGCGTCATCACTTTGCATGGTTGTTCTGCTTCCCATGGGTCCCACACACCCCTCTCCGTGCAAAGACACACACACTTGATTTAAAAAAAAAAACTTAAAAAACAGCAGACTAACTGGGCTACCCCTCTGAACACTTTATTTAGTTTCTTGCTTATAATGTAGTATTCTCAGGACACCTTTCATCTGAAGTCATGGAGTAGGTCTACATCTACACTAACCAGGTCTCCTGGCTCCCACGCATGCCCTGGGGCGTGTCTACACTACAACTGGGAGTGTGCCTCGACATTTGCTGACTCACTTTGGCAAAGCTAGTGCGCTCAAAAAAGCATGGGCTAGGCACCTGAATCCAGCCCATACCCTGTCTCTGTACGTGGGTGGCGAGCCCAGGCTGCTGCCTGTGCCACCGTGGCCATCCTGCTGTTTTTAGCATTTTTATTTTTTCGCTGAGCTGTCTGGCTCCTGGCTCTAGAAAGCACAGCACAACGGTTGTGTAGCTATACTCTTATGTGGTACACTACATGCTACTTCTGCATTTTGCTGCCCACACAGTCCCCTTTCAGGAACTCCAAGTCCTAAGTGACCTGTTCTCTGGAAGCAGGCACCTGAAGTGCATCTGCAAAGCAGGCAATTCCACAACAGGTGGGTGGTTTTCTGGCTATTTTCATTCTCTCTCTCTTTTGTCCCCCTCTCCCCCTCCCCCCCAATGAATACTATACCATCTTTGAGGGTATCATTTCTAAAGCTAACTTCAGTTAATTCTTATCAAAGATGGTTGAATTCCAATACAGTCTAACTCCAAGAAAGGTGATAGTACCACATCTCAAGTGTACTGGCAACATCATGTTGAAAATAAGCTCCATTTTTCTCTTAGTGTGGAAATTATGTACTTCCATTTTACAGTGAAACATGCCATTCACATTATAAAAATAGATTTCACTTCAAAATAAGAAGTTTAGTGAACCTGATGTATTCACATTTTCTAAACACAATTTCTCAAACAACAGCATAAATATCTGTAAAGCTCTAGTCTTTTTATAAGAGTCTTTTCTTGTTTAAAAACAAATCAGAGGCACAATTTTCATGTGGAGGAGAAAGCCTAGTCTGAGTCTTATAATAGTCCCAGAAGATTTCTTAGCCGCGCGGCACGGAGTCCGCACTAGTGGACATTTAAAAATGGCGGCACCCGGCTTTATGCAAATGAAGCCCGGGAAATTCAAATCCCGGGCTTCATTTGCACCTCCAGTTGCCTACATTACCACCCTAGTTCGAACTGGGGTGGTAGTGTAGACATACCCTTAGAGAGTGTCTGGAAGGAACTAAGGCCTGGTCTACACCTAAAATGTAAGTTGACCTACCTACATTTCTCAGGGCTATGAAAAGTTCCCACCCTGCAAGACATAGTTAAGTCAACCTAACCTGTCTTGTTGACACCAGGAAAAGAATTCATCTGACACCTTAACTACTGTTTTTTGGGGGCTGATCTACAAGAACAAAGGAAACCCCCCTTCTGTCACTGTAGCATGTGTCCACTGTGGCTGTACTGCTCTAGGGCTGGTAGACATAGCCTGAGGCGTGCACTGGAGTTAGATAATGTAGGCCCTCATTCATAGACCAAAGGGTGGTCTATGCAACACACAGTCAATCTGTGGAACTCCTTGCCAAAGGATGTGGTGAAGGCTAGGACTTTAGCTCTTTTTTGAACTCTGTTAGATACATTCATGGAGGTTAGGTCCATCAATGGCAATTAGCCAGGATGGGCAGGGATGGTGTCTCTAGCCTCTGTTTGTCAGAAGCTGGGAAAAGGTGACAGGGGAGGGATTCTCTCTTCTGTTCATTTCCTCTGGGGTCACCAAGCATTGGCTACTGCCAGCAGACAGGATACTGGGGTAGATGGACCTTTGGTCTGACCCAGTATGGCTGTTCTTATTGTCTTATGTTTTTAGGTGGGAGCCTACAAGGTGGCCCACTAACATGGCTTCAGATGCATTAGCCTTCATCTTACCAGGGCTTTTCATTCATGTCAAGCTGACACACCTAAAAACAGGCGTTTCGTGTCCCCTCAAAGCATAGCCTTAGCGCACACCTGTCCCTAAAAGGTGCTGAGCCCTCTCGGCTTCCATTGCAGAGGCCTGGCCACTGCTCTTGGGATTGGTGAGCCAAGGCAGAGTCACAGTGGGAGAGACCTGAATCCAGCACACAACAGCAACTAGCTGCTGTCCCCAAGTCTGTCCCACATGCCAGTCACCCTGCCTTCATTTTGTGGGTGATGCTTGCAAGCCATCACCCACTGAGTCCTTCATGGGATAGCTGCCCTGCCTGGAGGGGAGTGAGAAGCACACTGGACTTAGATGCTGCCATGCTCCCTTTGCTCCTGCATACGATGCTGTGTACGGGGAACAACCTTCAATCCTTGGGCCTCCGAATCCCATCCAGTTCTTGGTAGAAGGAGGAAGGGCTTAGGTAATTAGGGGGAGGAAGATGCTCCCACACCTCAGACCAATCTCCTTGGACTGTGGCTGGCACCCCCATTGTGTTGGAATAGTTTGTGTGTTACCCATCTCTCTAGCTGTTGTTCTCCTCTGTGGGTGTTGCTCCCTTCACCTTCCTGTGCATTAACAAGACACAGGGGTTCCAGGGTGCGATGTCAGTACACATGCATGTTTCCTTGGCTGGGGTGATGGGTTCTCGGAATACACATGCCCAAAAAGAAAGCAAGTGGTTATTGTTTATGGCTTGTGTATCACAATAGTGACTCAACACTAAGCGCTGCACAAGTACAAAAGCCAGAGATAATTTTGCCCTTGATCCACGAAAAAGGCAAGCCCGACAGAGTAAGGCCATGTCTACACTACGGGGGTTTCAGTGGCACAGCTTCAGCACCATAACAGTGTAGACACTCCTCAGAGTAGCAGCAGGGACTTTTGCTTTGCTCTAGGAGTTCCAATTCCTTGAACGAGGGTACCTGGGTCTTCCAGTGACCTTGTAGCAGCTACACTGGGGCTGTGTCTAGACTGGCAAGTTTTTTCGCAAAATCATCTGCTTTTGCAGAAAAACTTGCCAGCTGTCTACACTGGCTGCTTGAATTTCTGGAAAAGCACTGACGATCTCATGTAAGATAGTCAGTGCTTTTCCGGAAATACTATGCTGCTCCCGTTCGGACAAAAGTCTTTTTCCGAAAGACTTGCGCAAAAGGGCTAGTGTAGACGGCACAGTACTGTTTTCCACACAAAAAAAGCCCCAATCGCGAAAATGGCGATCGGGGCTTTTTTGCGGAAAACCGCATCTAGATTGGCCATGGACGCTTTTCCGCAAAAACTGCTTTTGCAGAAAAGCATCCTGCCAATCTAGACGTGCTTTTCCGAAAATGCTTTTAACGGAAACCTTTTCCATTAAAAGCATTTTCGGAAAATCATGCCAGTGTAGATGTAGCCTGGGAGTTAGGTGGGCATAGGATGCCATGCCTCTGCAGCTAACTTTTAAGCATTAACTAGCAGGCTGCACCCCATGCTTGCTACACTTGCCAACCCCATTCTCTCTGGCCACTTTCACAGCCAGAGAGCATGATGACATCATGCTGTCGCCTGTCAGGAAAAAGTTTTTTATAGATAGAAAGACTCAGCATTCCTATTATAATTGCCACATAACAGTCAGGAAGCTAAGGCCCAGAAAAACAGTGATTTTAAATGACTTGCCCAAGATCACACAGGAAGTCTGTGGCAGAGCCAGGAATTGCACCTGAGCCTCTAGCACCATTCCAACACCTTACCCACTTCCTCTCCATATTTCAAGGTCTTCTGTGTGGGATTTGTCTTCCACTTCAGGTTCATCTCTAACTCTATTCTTCAACCAGCTAGAAGCATGCCAATAATTATTACCCAGACCGTCTATGCAGCACCATGGCTCCTTCCTGCACAGTGCAGGATGAAGTGTAGGCTTCTTGTCTTATGGCACTGAGCCTGATCCAAAACCCACTGAAGTTCACTGGCTTCTGCAAGGGATTTCTCTTGAGTATGTGGGGCTAGGATACAAACCCTCCCCATCACCAAAACGGAGTAGAGATCAAAACAAATCCGGGGCTTGAACTGAAGAAAGGTGACTGACAGGCCTTCAAAACATCACAGCACACCCCTTTCTCCAGGGATGAGATGAGACCCTTACGGTGGCATTATTGTTCCATCTCAGAGATCCCAAGGTGCTTTCCCGATTATACGTATTAATGTCTTTCCAAAGCAGCCACCTCTGGGATGGAAGTTAGTGACTGAGCAGCACAAAAGTGAAGAGAAACCGGGTGTCCTGTTAAAACTTCCTGGGGAATTTAAGGAGACAGAAAGCAATTAGCCACATTGCAATTTAGCCAGGACATTGCATTAAAGCCCCTCTTGCAACAACAACAAAAAAGTTCTATGGGCTCTGAAATGCCCAGGAGTGGTCAGGGCTGTGCCTTTCCGGCTGCGTCTACACTTAACAGTGTAAAGTGCAGTCGCGGCAGTGCCGTAACGCAGCAGTGTGGCCACAACACGAGCGCTGGGAGAGAGCTCTTCCGGTGCTCTGTGTAAACCACCTCCACGAGGGGAGGAGCGAATAGTGCAGGGAGCACGGCGCCAAGCACTGTAGCCTGGTTCACACTTGCGCTTTACAGCACTGTCACTTGCTGTGCTTGGTGCAGTGTTTTTTCAACAGAGGGCGTTTGCATCTATGACTATGGAGCCAGCAATGGTACCAGGTACCACAACAACCACAGTGCACAGCCGAGTCCTGTCTACCCACAGATACAAGCGTCCCCCATGCAGCTTGAGTAACTTGCCTCAAGCATTAGGAACAGCTCTATTCAGCCTGACAGGCTCCCCTCTGAGGCTACATTTACACTGCAGGCTTCTTCCGCAAGAACTTTTTGCGCAAAAAGTTCTTGTGCAAGAGCGCGTCCACACTGCCATGTGCTTTTGTGCAAGAGATGTGCTTTTGCACAAGAGCATCCATGCAGTGTGGATGCTCTCTTGCACAAGAAAGCTCTGATGGCCATTTTGCCCGGGCTGTTGCCCGTCCACACATTCGTTTTTGCACAAGAGCTCTTGCGCAAAAAGGCTTATTCCTCATAGAAAGAGGAATAACTCTTGGGCAA